AGAGACACAGAAAGAGAGAGACAGGAGACAAGAGAGAGACAGAGACAGAGAGAGATGCGCTATGAACAGGGAATAACTTTCGTAGTATTAGCGTTTACACTTACAGACGGTTAACAATGTAATTGATCTCAGCCCATTTGCATACACTCTTCACCTGTTTTTCATGAAATGTTTTTTTTAAGGGCCCCTATTAGGAATCAATACATCCCTACTCTGAAATTCACACACAGATACACACTAAAAGCCAATCAGATTAAGAGTACACTTATCTTGATGAGCACTGAGTAACGTATGAAATTGTTGAATCACTATATTGTACACCTGAAACTAATATAACACTGTATGTTAAGTACACTGGAATTAAAATTTCTAAAAGCCAATCAGAAAGCAACAATAAAAACACACCTGGTAAACAACTAAGTTTTAATTCAAAGGATACTAAGCCATAAAGGGCCTAGAATGAACATTCCAATTAGCCAATGGAGTGACAAGCACTCAACACCTTATTATTTACTCATTAAAGAGAATCTTGTCATAATTTCCCTTTGACATATTTAAAAAAAAAAAAAGGAATTAGGAGTACAACACATGACCCACAACAACAATCAAAAAGTAAAGTTAGAGGAATGTAAGACCCCCATGGATGCCAAGGCCTGTGGACTGAGAGTTTCCAAGACAAAAGCATTAATTGTGACCCTGTGAAGTATTTACAATTTAAATAAGATGTGTCTATGTGTAAGCATTTAGAAACAAACTACCTGACAAAGGAAGCATTTTCCTGTCTCTTGCGTTTGTGGCCAGTTTTCTTATTGGATGAAAACAAATTGCCTACATTTCTAGTATTAGTAAATAACCAATGGCTTCATCTATTTGTTTCTAAAGCAGCAGATCCAATTCATCAAAGACATCAGGCTATCCCTTGCCCTCTCATCCCCATTCCTTACCATAACCCCCCCCCCCCAAAAAAAAGAGAAAGCTTAAATCTCCCTTGCATCCCTACCTCGCTTTGCAGGGAGGGGGCGTTTTCAGTCAAGTCCAAGTTCAGTTTTAAGATTTTTTTTTTTTTAACTCAAACGATGCTTTAGAAACAACATCCCAGACTTTTAAAATAAAACAACCGCCATCAGCGTTTTCCTAGCCCACTTGGGAACCAAAGCTCACTGGCCCAAGGCTGCCCCGTGTCCCCGAGGCCCGGAGGCCCAGAGGCCTGGTGCTCTCCAACCTGGACCGCACAGCCCCGGAGGCCGATCCTCCTCCCCTGGGGGTTTAGCAGCACTTGGCATTTAACCTGCCTGGCGTGCGTGGCTTTCTGGTTCCATCTCCTTGAGCCACATTACTTCTCCCCAGATGTCAGGCACAAATCTGGATTAACATGCAACAGGGCGCCCTGTGCAGGCCGCCAGCCCTCGCCCAAGAGCTGTTAAATGCAGATTCAGCCGAGGACCCCCCGGAGAGCTGCTGTTGAATAAAAATTGTAATCCAAAGGGACCATTTCTTTGCCTCCCGCTGCCTGTGGGAAACCAGAGCTGGCGCCCCAGCACAGGCCCAGCTAGTCCGCTCTCGCTGCAAGCGGGCGTGGCAACTTCGGGAGGCGGCCTTAGGGGCCCGGAGACTCCTCATTCCTCTCTCTCCACTCTCCGTTCGGGTTCTTGGAGTGGGGAAATGCTTAGATTCAAGGAGTGGCGAGCCACAGACAACCCTGGGAAGGAAGACTTCATTCGACGGCTCCTTCTGGGAGCGCAGACTAAAGTCTAGCGTCTGGACGGCCAGGCTCTTTCCCGCCTAACTCCTCTGGACGCCCCCAGGTCCACCCTGAATCCCTCAAACAGGCGTCCCGCCTCCCGAAGGGCCCGCATCCTTCTCCACTGACGACCAGGCTCAACCCTCGCCTCGACGCCTCGCACGGTTCTTCCTCTCTGCTCTGGTTCCCGGGGGCGCAGCCCTGCCCTCGCCCAGGAAGCCCCCGGTGCCCCTTGCTGCCCCCAGTCTCAGGGCGTCGGGAGCTTCCGTGCGGAGCGGGGAACGAGACCGTCGGGAGAGGGCGCCCGGGAGGCCTGCGCCCATGAGCGGTGACTCGAGCCTCGCTCCTCGGGGTCTGGGAGGGGGAAGGGGGCGGGTACGAGAGGTGGGGGGACAACGAGATTACGGTTTCTACCGGCGTCTTAATCTGATATATATTTTTATATTTAGAAAAAAAGCATCACTACAAGGCCAAGTGGGTATTTGCCGACTTAGCCCTCCGGGAAACCGGCTGGTATCAAAGTCGTCGATTCCAGGTCCCTGCGCGGGTGGCAGCCTCCGCGCCCTCCGAGGATAAAAGTAAAATAAAATAAACCGTGCCGCCAGCAGACCCTAGAGACAGAGGGGTTAATGAGCTAACGAGGACCAGCGCTCACACTACACCTGAAGCATCCCGTCCCGGGGCGCACCCTCTGCGGGGGCTCAAACTGGCTGGGCCTCATTCGCAGACAGGTGGCGGAGGTCTGCCTTTCTGGGCCCGGCCCCCAGGGCATCGCACTAGGGGTCTAGCGCCCCCAGGGACCGTCAAGTAGGCTCCAGTCCAGAGAACTGGCGCCCACAGGGGGGCCCTAGTTCCTGGTCTCTGACTCCCCACCTCCCAGAACAGGGGACTCTACTCAGAGTCCAGGTCGGAGGCAAGGTCCCCCGTGCTCCCCGAGCTCTGCGCTCCCAGCTCCAAACAGAGCCCAGGCACACTCGCTCCTGGCTCCCGGGAAGGGGACAATTAGGAAGAACAAACTTGGGTTTGCTGCCCACGGACCAAGACCTAGATGAGCTGGAGGGGTCACGCGAGCTCGCCCGCGCATAGGCCAACAGCGCCACGAGCCCAGCCAAAGCTGCGAAGCCCACCAGTAAGCGGTGGGGGGTGGGATGCACGCTTCTCATTTTTTAGGTGAGGGAAGAGACTAAAATGTCAATTTTTATCCACTACTATCGCCTGCCAGTCTACATATTTCAAATTAAGGTAATTGTGTAACAAAAGTTTACCGAAGGAGTAGGGGGGAAATGCAATGATGTTATACCAATTTTGTGCCCCCCTCAAAAAAAATCCCATAGCTTTGGTCCTTTATCTTTGACTTTAATAAAATAATGATTCGTTGAGAAAATGGGGTATAAATCTTCATTTTGGAGGCAATTAAAGTGTTGATTTCATTCATGCCCCTAAGCGATTCTTGTAATTTGCTCAAATAGCTTTATGTACCCAGCACTCCGGAGCTCTTAGAATCCCATTTTCTAGTTAGGCTTGTTGGATTACAATTTTTACTCAACAGCAGCTACCCGAGGGTTCCTCAGCGGAATCTGCATTTAACAGCTCCGGGGTGAGGGCTGGCGGGCTGAACCAGGCGGGAGGCCCGGCAGCCCGCAGGGCCCGGGCCGGGCCGGGAGCTGCCTGCAGTGTTCCCACCTCGGCGGGGCCGCGCAGGGACTGAGCAGACTGCCTGTACTGTGCACTCGTCTACACTGCCGAAAGTTTGCAACTTGCCAAATAATAGTAAAGACCTGGCGCTCTGGTGCTTTTAAAGCTCAGCTCTGCCTGCCCTCCACTGCTCATGGGGAAAGGACAAATTCAGCCCTGTCGCGGGATTACCGAGAGAAATCCAAGCTGGGAATGTATTTTGAGAGGGTGATGTTGAGAGAAGAAAACTTCAAGACGACACCAAGACCCAGGAGTCGGACACTCCTGCAAGCACTTTACAAGATAGCCGCTAGCCAACAGTGACCATGGCAGAGCTTGCAAAGGAAAACTCTACACGCCCGCCCGTCTTTTGGCTTAACAAAGGCAGGCTGATCTCTCCCCCCACAAGACGGAACTCACGTGCCAGGTCAGAAAGAGAAACGACTCTGGGCCTTCACTCATTTATGGAGAGGCCAGAGGAGACCCGCAACCCAAATCTCTATTCACGTTGCAGCAGTTTGCAACGGAGAGCTGTTCTGAGCCCGTTTCATCTCACCCGCTCCTCAGGTTTTCACTTTCATTGCATTTTTGCAACTTCTTTGGGCCAATCCAGAGACGCAGCGACAGGAGAGGGAGAGACTGGGAGCAAACAGTGGTGCTGGGTTGAGAGAGGGAGAGAACCCCCCCCCCCCCAGCAATTCCAAATAAAAGTCGTCCCCACTTAGCAACGCAGTGGAAGAAGGGCCTGCAGGGAGGACCAGAGAGGAGGGGGCGAAGCAAGCAAAGGCTGGCAGTGGAGAGCGAAGGCGGCGCGAGGTCCCCCATGGCCACACCGAGGGAGTTTCCCGGGGTGCCCTTGTCGCTTCCAAAAGCTGCCAACCCACAGGGCCCAGTGCACTACCAGCTGGAGGATGAGTGGAAAGGAGGAAGAGAAACGTCCATATTTATCTGTTTTTATAACCTCGGCCTGGTCTTATTTTTTCTACTAAGTACAATAAAATGGGCGAGCTTGCAGCGAGCACCGCACAAAGCAATGTTCAGTGAGGTCTAGAAGCGTTCGGCCGAGGAAAACTGACAAGACAGGCTAATGAACCGTATAGACAGGGAGAAAATAGCCAGCATTTGCTAGATTTCAAACCCTCGCTGTCTCTCTGAGACCACCTATCTTGGGTTTATTCCTAATAAAATAAGAAATAAGCAGACCCTACCCTTTCCTTTTCTTCGAAATAGAAGGGGGAAAAAACGCTCCAGAACAGAGCCCTGCAATCAGGCGGTCACTGGCAGTTAACACTCCCATTATTATACAGGGTAAATAAAATAAAGACAAAAATTAAAAGCGACAAGAAACAGGTCAAGTTTGCAGGCAAAGCTTTTACAAGCTCATCTCTCCAGGTCGAATCCCAGAGCCAGCCTTAATGAAGCAATAATAGCCACATTATTCAAAAATTTTCATTTCGATGGAAATGTATCTAAAAGGGACTTAATCATATGCAAATAATAAAAGGAGGTGGTAGTGACCCAGCAAGCAATATGCATACAGATTTTTTTTTTTTTCCCAGGGATGTTGAAATTGAAAAACGCATACCTGGTCGGTTAGATTTGCTGATCTTGTTATATCTTCACTGTCTGATTTTGATCCTCCTTCTCTATCGTCTATCACCAAATCGATAGGCATTTTCCCTTTCAAACAGCTAATATACCGGTGGCAGAAATTGTCACATAATTCGTGTACCTACATTATGACAGAAATAAAAAAATGGAAATATAATCAGGAGTGCATAAATGACATTGACAAGTGCAATCCACCCCCCTTGTGAGATCCAAACTTCCAAATAGGGAAACACAGAGCAATTGTCCTCCAGAGACCCCCAGACGCATCCAGAATTAGGAATAACTTTCTTTTCTTGCAAAATAGAGATATCCCAGAAAATTGACAGTGACAAGATGATTCACAGGCTACAACATATTCAACACCCGTGTTAAATTCATCTGCTCCCAGGGCTGTGGCCATTAGAGAGGTGACCTGCGTGGGTGACATTTAAGGTAAACTATTTAATTTCATCCACTTACTTTATCATAAGTCCTTTTCCAGTGTGTCTAAGAGAAAAATGTGAAGATATATATATATATATATGTAATATATGAAGACATATATTACTATATATGTGGGTGTATATACATATCTATATCTATATCTATATCTATATCTATATCTATATCTATATCTATGTATCTTTCTCCCTATAGATATCTATATATCTCCAAAGACCAGTACTGTGGTGGTATAGGGTATATGTTTGATAGCCCAAGTCCCGATAACATTTGTAATTAGGGATTCTACCTGAAAAAAGCATATTTTAGGACACTTTAAAAAAAATAGAAGAAAATCAAATTGCCAGTACTCATGATATGAAAAAAAAAAAACCCTACAGCCACGAAAAGGTATCAAACTGATCAAAAAAAAAAAAAAAGGGAAAAAGAATGCTTCGAAATATTTAGGTATAAGTGGAGCAGTCTTACAGGCCCCAGGCATCACTGACATTGCAAAAACTCACAAGAAACCCCAGTGTGCTTGCAATTTAATGTTAGTTTGAATTACAATGCATTAAGTTTTTATTGCTGAGATTTATAGAACAGCTAGCAAAATCATGTTATCCCACACCCTTTCTTGAGTGTGAAGGTGGGGTGTGTGCAGGATTCACAGATTCAAGAAATTGACACAACTATCAACTCTGCTTTGTCTCTGCAAAAGGTTTAATGTGCCTCCCCCACTACCTCCTCCAGACTCCCTGCCCACTCCTCCTCCTCCCCCTCCACCTCTCCTCTGTGTCTGACCTGCCGCTGCTCTCAGACTGTCTTCCAGAAACTCACTAAAACTAAACAAAACCCCCCTCCCACCCACCCAGAGGTAGCAAAGAAGAGGGGGAAGAGGCAGAGAAGAGATCACAAAGGTATAACCTGTGAAGCAAACTCACAACAGCATTCTAAACATCAAGGGAGATGCATAGAATTGCAACTATTTATACAAAGCTAGCAAAGTATTAAGAATGAATACAAGGCTAGGGCATTTGAGATGCCGGTTTTAGTGGCTGAAATTGTAATTAAACCGCAAAGAGAAATGGACGCTAAGATTGGCCTTGACACTAATTACCAGAAAGAAAGACATTTATGCAAATGTCTCAGAAGCCTGAACTTCAGCCATTCAGAACCTCCCCCCCACCCCACCCCACCCCACCCCCTTGAGTTTGGGGGTGAGGGGAAAGCAAAAGGAAAAGAGGCTAGAGAAATTACCTTCTCTAATTCCAACAGATGAAACCTTAATACTTGTATGGCTTGAATCATCTGCAAAGATACAAAAAGAATGAGCACCCTATTCGTAGTTTGCAGAAAATTGGCTGTCACAGCTCTAGCATCTCCCGCCCCCCCCCCCCCCCCCCAGTAAATAGAGTTATTTTGATTTATGGCAATAACACTAAAAGTTAATAGCAGTGACTGGGTACCATCTAGAGGTTTATATTTCTTAAGGAGAAAAAAAATAGCTAAAACAACAACAAAGCATCTAAGTAGGGCTCATAAACACTCTCCTCCCCCATGGCTCTTCCCTTTTAACCCCCCTGGCCCCACCCCACCGAAAGGGCCACATCCCTGGACGAGATGTTTCCAAGTAAGGAGTGCACGGAAAATATTCCAAACAGTCCCCCAGCTGTGGCTTTTCACACTGCAAACTTTCTGCTGCTTTCCTCACACCTTTCAGGCACACTGGTGGTTTGGGGGCTCTTGCCCAGTTGCTGCCCTCGTGATGCGACTTTGAGGGCTGGGAAATCCGCAAAGTTTAAGCACATACGCTGACAAGCCCGGAGATAAATCCCCGCGCTGATTAGAGCTGTGCTGCCCGGCTGTCATAAAAAACAAAAGCTCGCGTTTCCCTGCGCGGGCTTGCCCGGCCCCTCTCGAGATGAATTTATTTCCCCGGGATCTTGTCCGGGACCACTTGTCCGTGGACAGAAACGTTTGCAGCCGCCTTGCAGCTACGGGAAGACCCGTCTAGAAACCTAAGGGCTCTTTAAAGCAAAGCTGGTGGCTTGGGGGGAGGGGAGATGGGGGTGGGGAGGTAGGGGTCCGCTCTTACCAAGTTATCCAGTTCTGGATTAGAAGAAAACAGAGGTTTTTCTGCGCGAATCTAAATACAAGTGAGAAGGGGGGGTGGGGGGAGAAAGAACATTTGAAATCTGGTCGCTTTCCTGGTTTCTTGCCTCATTACACTGTCGGGGGCAAGATGTAACCTCCGGGAAGGACTCGGTGACACCGAGTGCATCCCTCGCAGAAACACTTCAATGTGAATCAAATAAGCCAACAACAAGCCCAGAGCTCAGGGTTTCTTCCACCAGCAAAAGTACGCTTCTAGAGGACGCTGCCCTGCTCGCCAAGACCAAGGCGGCTACAGCGTGTAGGGTTTGTGATTTTATTTTGTAGAGTGGGCTTTCTGCGTTAGGTTTTGGAGCGTGAGTTGGAAAGCCTATGGGTGATTTTGAGTCGTCCGCGGACACTCATATAGGAAGAAAACCCTAGGGTAGATGTCACAGGCATGGCTTAGGGTGGACTAATTTGCTGGTTACTTTTGAAAATGTGCTGGATGGGGGAGGGAGTTTCTCTTTCTTTCTTTTTTCTTTTTTCTTTACTTTTTAAACATATATTTTGCTGACCTGTTTGGCGAACACGGCTATATCTTCATTGAACGACTCTGACGAGCAGACGTCCCCGCCCGCCACCCCCGGCTCGCGGGGGGTACAAGTAGCTAATTCACATTTCTCAAAAATCAGTGCTAAGAGAGGGAAGAGGGGGTGTCTGCAAGAAAATACAACAGTCACAAACAACACAATGGTTAGTCCGGAGTCAGTGAAAAAGGCGCCCAAGAAAAACAGCCAGACGAGCTCGAGGCAGGGACCCTCTCTCTGATTTTGTCATCTACTTTTTTCCTCCCCCCTCCCCGCCCCCAGGTGACTGCTCGCCTCCCCTTCCTCCTAGGCCACCGAAACCGGAGGCCCTAAGCCAGGGACCTTATCTGAGGGTCGGTTCAGCCTATCTGGCCGGAGAAATTGGTAACATTTGCTAAGAATAAAACCCAAGCGGTTCCAGCAGCCATTTTGAATTAAGTTTCCCACCCCGACAAGCCCTCGTCCCTCCGCTGCACATCTAGGACCTCGTGGAGGAGAAAGGCGCTGGGCGCATGGGTCGGGAAGGCTCGTGCAAATGGGTTCCTCCAAGGCAGCCTCGCGGAGCCCAAGACTCGGGGGACCTCGGTGGCAGGCGCTCAGCTAACTTGGGAAAGGGACCTCTGTGGCTGCGGGCCGACTGTCAGCGGGCTGCGCCTACCGATCCCGGACCCCGCGGCCCTCGGAGAGCAGGAAGCCTCCTCCACAGCCCCCTGCACATGTCTCTCCCTTAGTCAATGGCCCCCACTCCCCGCAAAAGAAAAGTTCTTTCAAATGTCCCTGCGGTAAAGCCTTTCATTTTTGTCTCTACGGAATGGCAAAGCAGCTAGTATTTCCAGGGGCCTAGATGTCGCTTATCTCAACCCATAAAAGAAAAAAAAAAAAAAAAAAGCTTCTCCTAATGCTCAAGGAGGTGTCTCAAGTCTTTTATTAGCTCTCACAGCCCAGCCGGAAATTTAACAGTTTGGGGTCCTTTTGAAAGCTTCCCCAAATGTTCTGTCCTGGAGCCTAAGCCATTTGCAGTTAACGCTGCGGAGAGAACGCTGGGATTTAAACCGGCCCATCGCACAAGGGACCAGGAGATAAAGCAGAAAGGGTTCGCAGCTGGGGAGGGTCGGGGTTGCCGGATATTTTCAAAAGAAGACATAAATAGAAATAAAAGTTGCTGCAAAGTAAAAAGAGGTCCCCAAATTCATGAGCACACAGTAGGCACAAGTGACTTTGGAAAGATTTTACCAGCCCAGGGTCTAATCGACTGGCCTGGGAGAATACGGTGTAAACCACAGTCTGAAAACCACATTGGCCTGACAGCACCCCACACCTACTTCCAGATCCTTCAGGCTTCGCCTTTGAACACAAAGTACTAAACCGGCTAGAAGTTTCTTGATGTCTATAACAATTCAGAGCGAGCTCTCTCCTTGCCTACGGTGGTCAAACTCCCTAAATGCAAAGCATGTTCCCCCTTGCCTGACCTGCAACTGTCCTCCCTTGATTTTTATTGTGCGGCGGCCGAGCCAGCATAAGGTTGCTGAGTAAACTTAGCAAGTCAGAACAATCAGTGGCTTAAAAGATTTTCCCTTAAACTAAAAGTTTCGTTCCAACACAAAGGCGCCTACATTTAGAAATCCCCAACGCTCTCCCAGCGAAGCCCAGCAAGCGAGGACTCCAACCCGCTGAACTACAGAACCAGGGTGTGAGAGGGGACGAAGGACCTTTGGCAACTCCTCCTGCAGGGCGACCCCTTCGCCGGCACGGCCTCGGCGGAGCTGGACGCTGGGCAAGCGCGGAGCGTGTGTGGAGATGGGGGGCGTCTGGGACGGCAGGCCGCCTTCCCAAATCCTCCATGCAATGCGAATGAAAAGTTACCGAATAATGTACCTCCAATCCACAGAGCTCTGGCTTTCCTTTTACCAAAGGCACAGGGAAACAGAGGAAACATCGCGTCTCTACCACTTAACCTGCTGCCCGTCGTACCTACCCATAAATGGCATCTTTATCTCTCTTTAAAGCGTCATTGACGGAGGAACCCATGCTGGGGGCCATGGCGTTGGTGTGAGCTGTGTGCGGGTACTGATGCGAGTGCAGAGGAGGCCCGTGGTTCAGGTGGTGGACCGGCTGCATGGACCTGGCCGCATGCGGGTCCCCATACATCGTGGAGGGGATGCCTACTCCATCCATGCCCCCGTAATGGGGTAAATCGTCGTACTGCATGACAAACAGGAGAAAACAAGGTTCAGAAGGCCAGGCCGGCAAATGGGGAACCGGCAGGGCATGGAGCTTATATAATGTCAGTCCAGCTGGATCCTTCAACCCAGAATTCAGTGGCCTTGCATCTCTCAAGTTGAGGGTTTTTATTTTAAAAATAATTTCTAAAGTAAAAATCCTAGGATTCTCTGAGTCTCAGCTGAGATGAATGGTCTTGCCCTAACTTGTGTCCCTATCAACTAGTTCAGAAATTCAGGATCCTTTGGCAAGGAAGGAGGGAAGAAAGAAGGAAAGAAAGAGAGGCATTTTCCCAGAGGGCGGAAGGTAAAACGTGCATGTCTCTAGAGGAGGAAATTCAAAATCACAATAATAAAACGTGCCAGGACAGTGCAGCAAACCCGCCTAGTTTCACAGCCCCTTCCCATCAGGGGGAATTAAAAAAAAAAAAAAAAAAAGTTACGATGGGAACAGCTAAGCTAAGCACATGAATTCAGACAGGCTTCTCATTTTATTTCTCTGCCAGCGTGGGGTTAAGGCAGTCCTGCAAGACACTGCATTTCCTTTGCTTTCCAAGACAAACTCTGCTAAATTACACAAAACTAACTGGCCTTCTCAGAAGTGAAACTCAGAGAAAGGTAGTTTTTCATGTTCATTAGAGCTGAATTTAGAATTGGGCAATTTTCCCTCAAAGTTAAAGGAAATCTATAGTTGGAGCAGTTATTCTGTTTTCTCCACTGTTAAGAACTTTCCCCCCAGACTAAAAGTCAATGAGGCAAATGTAACTCATCAGGTGTAAAGTAAATTCAAAAGCAAATGCACGTACAACCCCTATCTTCTTTCTTCAGAAAAACTACTTTTATATTGATTGTCATTATTTTGGGGTGCAAAATTTAGCTATTTAGATTTTTCTCATTGCTTCATTCCAGGCAAGTTCTTTTCCCAAGAATTGGAGGCACGGAGAGTGAAATGATTTTCAAAGAAAAGAGGAACTGCCACTTTCATGTCCTTAAAGCCAGAGGTGTGAAAATAGTTTGGAAGAACGCTGACATTTGCCTGAACCAAAGGAGTAAAGAAGAATGTGTCAGCCTAGTAACTTTCTTTTGCAAACAGGGCTTTGAGGGCCAGGACGCGAATTATGCAGGCAAGGCTTTCTGTAGACCCCCCTGTCTTTTAAGAAACTACCTCAGTTGGGTTGTCATTGTCTCACTTGACTCTCACTACATTTCCATTCAAATAGGAATATTGGGGAAATTAGTATTGCATTTTTAAAGTGAGTCGCTGTGTGCTTAGTATCCAATTAGTGAAGGGCTTTTCTAACAAAAACTTTCCAAGTATTACCTTTTATAAAAATCCATGCACATTAAAATCACTTTTAAAAGATGAATGTTTTCCGACCCCAAAAGCCATTACACGATGACAAAGTTATTTGCTTAAAAAAAGCTAAATACTTCTAATGATATTAAAAGATGAGCATAAGCAGTAACACATCAGAAGTTTCTAGCTGCTTATTTTACTTTAAAAATAGCTTTAAACTTCTGCTCCCTGAACCACTCACTTTATAGCATTAGGTATCTAGCGCCTTTTGTTTTTGTTTTTTAAACAGATGACTGCCTGAGCTTGTATTTTTATTTAGATAGCTGCTGGTTAGGATTCTATAGAAAACTTGATTACTTGAATTAATTACATGTAACATACATAAGTCTACAAATGCACTGAATAAATTCTTTCGCTTTAGGCCACGGCTTTAGGAGCCTCATTCAAAAATACAGAGAAAAAAGGAAACTTTTTAGCAGTGTCTTTCGGCCACGTTTCAATTTAATCTCACATTTGAGTTCCACAATTGTTTTTTAATACGTACCCTTTGCGCCATCGGCCTCCCTGGCTCCCTTCCTACTTCAACTTCTAATATATCCTCTTTAAGGCCAGTGTGAAAAGAAACAAATAAGCAAACTCCCCCGGAAAAAAAAAAAATGTAAAGCACGACGAAAAATCCCTTAACGTCTCCAGCAACGTGAGCTACTGGTCCCAGATCTTCGGTCTACGGGACCTGAAGCAAAGCGCCCGAGTCACTGAGCATAAAAGCGCTCCGTTTCCAAGACAGCAGCGGGGGCAAAAAGAAAAAAAAAAAAAAAAAAAAAAAGCCAATTTTTCTCCCCCCCAAAAAAAAATTTAAAAAAAAAAAAAAAAAGAGCGCCCCTCAGACCCAACTACCAAATCTCATGGCTTTCTGCCACTCCGGCTGTCAATCACAGGCGAGGTTGTCAACGTGGTGAATGAATGATCATCCGCTCTGTCTTCTTCTGGTCAGAACACCTCAAATGTTAATATTCAAATGCACAAAGCCCTAGCGCTCGCTTCCCTTGAATCAGTCCTAATTCCTAATCAGTTTCTCTCTTCTCTCGCTCGCTCTCTCTTTCTCTTTCTCTCTCTCTCTCTCTCTCCCTCTTTGCAACTGCTGCACTGGAGGGAGATTAGAGGAGGAGGGTTAAAAAAAATGTCTGTCTGAGTTTGTCTTAAAGGAGCCACGATCGATGCTGCCCGCTTGCAGTCCCCGTGCGTGTGTAAAGTGTGTGTTGCACAGGCGGAGAGGTGGATTCCGACCAGAATGCTAGAACCCGGAAGTAGTGGTGGCCATAACAGGTCGCGTCTTACACAATGCATTGGGCTGCAGCAAGTAGGATCCTCGGCAGGGGTGGGTGCGCGAAGCGAGCTCTGGCCGCACTGGAGAGGCAGAGAGACGCTCCATTAAATCGCACGCCCAGGCACAAACACACACACACCCAGGGCACACGCGCACAAACGCGGGCAGCAGCCCCCGGCCGCAGGCTTTATTTTCCGTATTCTTTTCTCTCCCTCCCCCTCCAGACTCTCTCCCCAAAGCCGACTCTCTTGAAATAAATTGGGAATAAACGCCGGGCAGGCAGCAGCAGGAGTTATTTTGCACAGGGCTCTGAGCACAGACTTCATGACTTTCCTCGAAATTATTGGGGTCTGCCAGTTTTTTTCGGGGGCAGAGGGGGCTAATGCAGAAAGTACTGGATTCTCAGGACGGACCACCCCAAGTAGAAAAGTCAAACGGGGAGACAGAAGACTGAGCAGGAGCAAGGCTTGGAAAGGCTCTGCTGAGTCCCGAGAACGTGGGGTGAAGAAGGCTGGGGCTTTCTGCAGATCCAGCTTAGAGTTGCTGTCAGAGGTGGACACCCGGCCCAAGGAAAGGAAATGCTTGCATTTTCTCACTTTGGGATCTGGACACCCCCGCCTTCCACCTCCTAGCCCCGGAGGCCCCCAGCCCCAGCCCCGGCGTCCTGCGCGAAGTGGGAGAGGAAAGGAGGGAACAATGAGCTGAGAGCCGGGAATGTGCCCCCAGCGCCTGTTTACAAACACGAAGCTATTTATGATCGCCGGAAAACGAAACCCGACGCGGGCTCGGAGCAGCCCAGACCTCGCGGGTGGAGCCCGGGCCAGGGAGACTCGGGGAAGCAGGCTGTTTCTCCGACCCTCTCTGGGAGAGGCAGCTGTGCGCCCAGGGCGCGGCGCAGCAGGGTCAGCGCGCTCGGCTCCGGCTCCGGCCGCGCCGCCTTTGTCTTCGAAGCGCCGAGGGGCTCCGGCCTCGGCAGTGCTCGGGGCCTGGAGGGACCCTGCGCCCCAAGCTCGTTTGCCCCGCGAAGCTCCGCGCTCTCCTCCCCAGCCCTTCTTCTCCCCACCCCGCTTTCCTGTCCCCAACCCGGCTCAGGGAAAACTCCCAGTGCCAAAGAAAAAGAAATTCACTTCGGGAGCTGAGATTTCAGACAAAAACCTGCCCCAACCCACAACTCAGAGGCTCCAACCAGCCACTGATTTTAACTTTCTCCCTTCAAATACCTATTCTCTGGCTTAACAACAACAACAACGACGACGACAACAACAACAACAACAACAACAACAACAGCACAGCAACGAAATCCTCTCCTTATTCTCCCACTCTAAGCTTGCCTTTTATTATTGTATTTAGTGGTGTTATTTTCGTTTTTATTTTTCTGCGCGCCCGGCTCTATACGCCGAGATGGCTCAGCCACAGCAGTTCAACCAGCGGGTTGGAAACCTCACATCCTCGAGCAAGGCTCGCAGCTCGCTCGGCTCGGAGCAGGATTTTTTTTCCTCCCTCCAGCTGAAACCTCACAGAAAACTCCCCCTGCGGTCGACTGGAAAATGAGCTCACCCAAATCTCGGTAGGCAGCCGTGGAAGAGGGCTCGGCCAATCAGGGGGCGCTCCTGCCAAGGCGGCCGCGCATTGGCTGCGGGGAAAATCAATTATCAAATAATCGATCAGCAGGGAGCTTCGATCTGCCGGGAATGCAAACTGCCAGTCCCGATTCCCGCCCTGATGGTGGCCAAAAGGCTGACTCCTCCAAAGCCTTCGGCCGCTAGTTCCCATCGCCCCCACCCCCCATCCCACTTCGCCAGCTGCGGACCGAACCCTCATCCCAAAGGGGGGTGTAGATAAGAGAAAGAGTTTTGAGAAAGATTAGGGGGCTCGTATCTGGAGAGGTTGTTTGGACAAGGCTAGGAGCTCTCAAATGTATTGAGGCTAACTCTAAATGCGCAAACTAAAAGAGAATTTGCATCAGTTTGAGAGGTAGGACTCAAGTTTTTGTTAAGTGGGCTTTCAAGAAGCCAGAGACACTGGGCAAGCATCAGAACATATATCTGGAATCAGGTTCCCTCCAGCACACGTAGCCTCGCTGAGCGATGTCTATTCCTTTAGTACTTAGCAGGAGTCAACGCCCAGTCTCCCCCCCCCCCCACCGAATAGTGGAATTTTCATAAAGCCGAAGCAGCTGAACCTTCCCAGCCTCCCGCACACCTCCCCAACGCCGACACCGCACTCCCCCCGTGTGCACCTAAAGGGCTGACACATTCACCCGAAGCCTCCAGATACACTTTGCCTTGAAAGAGCTCCGACTGTTTAAAACACATCCTAGGATCCGCATCATTTGCATCTCTCTTCTTTCTTCCTTTCTCTCCCTCCCTTTCTACCCCCACCCCCACCCCCACCCCCAACTTTTGGATCTTTAACTTTTTTCCATCGCAAACATGGGTAAAGTTTTTGGGTACCGACGCCCCGGTACATTACGCAGGAGGTCAAAGCAGGCCGCGTGTCAAAGCCGAGGGGATCCAGGTGAATTACCAGCTTCTTTACGCCTTTGCCTGACACTCCCACGCCCACCCCGCTCGCCCCAACATGAACTTGGAAACCGAACTTCAGGCCAAGATGGAACCTCCCGGTCTCCGGAAGGCGATTTCTCTGTTTAATTCGCGGGAAGCTGCGCTGGCTGGGCCAGGCAACGCAATCCTTTTCCAATTACCGGGAGGACCAAACAGGGCCGGCAGCCTGCAAGCCCTCTCCGAACCCCAGGCGGCTTTGGCCCTCACCTGCGCCTTCCGACGGCTGCACGCGGACGTGTGACCACTGCAGTCCAGCAGGCCAGGCTTCGGCGCGGCTGGCTGTAGGGGAGGGACACAAGGAGGGGGGGTCAAGCCAAACATCGAGATGGGTACATCTACGTTTATGATCCTTAAATGAACTGTGAGGGAAATGGTGTAAGTATAATTTAACGGAGAGAAATTTACTGCGAAATACATTTCGATGATCATCGTCTTTAAGAGTCCTTAGGGGCTCTCCAGCAAAGGCTTAAGTAACCGGTTTGGAGTTACCTCAACTCTGCGGCCATGTTTTCAAATTTGGAAAAGGCCAGTTTTGGTAAAGATTTCTTTGACAATGGAGTTTATTTTGTATTGTTGCTTTTTGGTAAATTTGTTTTCTAGCAGAGATGAAAAAAGAAGGTTCAGGTAAGTCACTCCTTTTCAAACATAACCAAAAACTTCAAAGCAGTTGGAAAACTATTGTGAGCTTCAACCATGATGTGTCAGGTTACCGTAAAAGTACTTTCAATTACCTACATACAGGTTTTCCTCAAAGAAAGAGATAGTTTGCGTTTGTTGTCTGAAATAAACTGTTTATAGTTTTAAAAAGTGTCTTCTTTCTTCTCCCCCACCCCCTTTCCATTTATAACTGGTAACCTAATGCTACTCCTAGGTCTTTATAAGATTGATTCTGGACAATCAAGGGACTAAAACACTTTTACAATGTAATTACAGTAGTACAAATTGTTTGCCCAAACCTCATTCTGGATAAGGATTTTACAATTAGCAAACAGTTATTACAGTTGGGGCTTGCTGAGAGAAATTGCACAGAGGAAGTCTAGAGTTGTAATATAGTAGCCATAAAAAAAACCCTCCTTTAGCAAGGCAGCAATTAATCATCTATTAAAAGGAAAAGGCAAAGGGATAGTTCTAGGTATCTTAGTAAACTACTACTGATATCTACCTGTTCTGTGATAGCACCTATCCCTAACTTATTTCAGATACTTCCTTTTTGAAGTAATAGCACGTTTATTTTGCAAAAACTTGGCCTGGTGAAGGGTTCTGGCACTTGCCCGTAGCTCTGGAGACATGTGCCTTCCATCCTCAGCTTACTCTAAACATCCCAGAACATCTTCCCAAAGATAGAGAGCTAAGACTTTAAAGGGGCAGGCTGGGGCCTAGGTCTCTATTGTTTAGACCTTCCTAGCAAGGAGGCATTTAAAGCAAGTGGTGCCCCTTTCCGATGTTGGTACAGTCCTTTTTGAGCACTCCCCTCTAATTTTCTGTTCTCCTATAAGGGATTGTGTCTCTGAAAAGACATATATCCTGAATTAGGCTTTTGTCCCCAAAGTTCACACTGATGAGTCAGCTCCAAAACCCTCAGAAATTAAAGAGGCATCTCTTAAGGTAAAATGTGTGTGTATTTGCTAGCCCAGAATAAACAAAAGACTGTTAATCAATTGAGTTTGGCAGCTGTGTTCACAGAATGATAAGAGTTTATCATCTGCCACCTAACTTTAAGATGCCTGTTAAAATGTTGTGATTACTCCTTAGGTTGTCCCGTGGTGCAGAGGCTTGTGGTTTGTCCTTCAAGAACATGCATCGTCTGCATCTCATCCCTCCACATTAACATTTGCATTTCAAAAAACAGAAATAGGAGGAGGGAAAGACAGTTTGAAGAAAATGGATTTAAAATCTAGTAGAGATAATAGAGGAATGCTTGAGATAAGAGCCTGGATGTGATATGAGAGAGGTACCAAGAAGTCAAAGCTAATGAATAGCTCTGAGAAAAGTGAAATAAACTATTTAGAGGTCTATAAAAGGGGGAACCTGGTCAGGTGATGTGAAAGGGGGTTAACTGAGCGGATTAGGGAAGACGTTAATCATGTGCCCCAAAGCCATCTGGGCTAGAAGACCTGGGAGATTTGTTTACTGCATTTTGCTTCAGAAAACAATGTCTGGGTCCAGTTCAGAAGTCAATGAGAGGTCAGTTCAGGCTCTCCAACCATTGCGGGGGAAAATACCTAAGTCACTATATTCTAACTGGATAATGCAAAAGTTAAGAAAAAAAATTTTTTTTTAAGTAGGGGGAGAGTTGTTTTCATTACTACCTTTCTATTTCAAATCATTAAAATGCTTTGGTCTCCAGAGGGGGAAAAATTACACTGGTTAACATAATTACTAGCTCTGACATTTTCAGAAGTTATAGAGGTCTTTTATTAATTAAATGGAGGGCTTAATAAAATATTCCTAATAAAATTTATGGTTGTCTTAAAACTTTCTAAACAGTGCTATAAATTCTTAATAAAATTAACTGGGAAATGAGTTATTAGCCCACACTTTACCCTCCCCCCCCCCAACTTCTACACAAGGAGCGGCTGTAGAGTGCAAAAGGGAAATAGAAGCCTTTTAGTAAAATATAAATATTAGCCAAAGACACACATTGCTTTAGAAGATGTGAGCTTTCAACCAAGTTATTTCTAATGGTTTCATCCTCCAATATTCCCCCAAAGCTACTCACAACAAAACTTAGAAAACTCCTTCCCCTTCCCTACCACATACTATATATGCGTGTATACGTCAGCTCATTTGAAATACAATGCTCGATTTTCTGGTCTGAGTTTTGTGTTAAGTTTGATGAAAAGCACAGATGCCTCGTGCAAAAGTCCAAGATAGGACTTCTGAAGGTTCAGAGAGTAAATATTTTGTCAATTCAAAGATAATTAAAAATGAAATGTCTTATAATTTCTCTCAGTATAATTTCTTTAAAGGTAACTTTGAAATAACAAATTTCTCAACCTTCAAGCTCCGCATGTATAGCAGCGGTGCATTATCTGAAGCAGCATTTTGTCGAGCAGATATACAAAACTTTTTCATATCACTACGTTTTAAAACCTTGGCGAGTTATCTTAAGTTTTGAGATACTTCTCTGCTTCACAGATACAATACTGGCTGGTTGGCTGTTTAAAATGAACAGGACTCTCAAACATACTTCAACCAAATAAAACAGCCTTGGTGGATTTTTCAGCTTCTGAAGGCTTGATCTTTTGTGCCGTCTACTGGACAATGGAAAAACTACAGCCTCTGTGACTTAAGAAACTTTTCTAGTCCAGTATTGGGGGAGGGGGAGGAGGGAGTGGCAAGAGAGTATGATTTGGTGCTAGTAAGTCGTAGGAGAGGATAACAGGACCCAACCTAGACTCATGGGACAGGTTTTGTGGTCTAATCACATCTATGTTTTCATATCCAAGTTTAGGACCTTATATTAAGCCCAGGCACACCTAAACGACTTGACTAAGGCAAAAGGCTGTATTTAATACAACTGTATACGTGTCTGAGTACACAAAGTTGGCTTGGGAATAGAAAGAAAAGATGATAGGACAAGTTTAGCATCTCTGAAAAACAATATTGGTGGTTTGCTTCGCTCTGAGTGTGCATTCGCTTGATAGTCAAGGTAAATGTATCTATTGCCTAGATAATCGAAGATGCACAAATTAACTCTTGGAATTTGAAACATGATGTTCAGTAACCAAGAATTGTACTTTTAGGAGGAGGGGAAATGAAACTGGTAATTAGAAAACTTTTAGTGCCGTCCTTCTTGGCAATCTTGAATGAAAATGTGAAACTTCCGTGTTTTCACTTGGAGACCACATGTGGGAGAAAGTGGGTGAAATTCATAGTCAGATGCCTTTATGTAGCAGAGGCTGTTTGATGATCTATTAAACATTTAAGATATATTGTATATGTTTTGGTCATGATTTAAAAAAAATATTTATGGAGCCCTAGCATTCCGGAAGCTTTGTACAAAAAAAAATCTTGAAGCTAACTTTGACCTGTTTGATATTGACATAGTTTCTGAATAATAATTACCTTAGAGAGGTTATTTTGTGACTTAAGAAACAAATAAACAAAACCCAACACCAATAAAATGCAGAGAACTCAAGACGGTTTTGGTGGAAGAGACATAAACTTGGGTGCAGGGCTCTTACAACTGTTCATCTGCTTTCCTGAAGTTAAAAATTCTTTAATGCATTTTAATAAAAACTAGTAGCACATGACTAGTTATTAGGGTGCCTTTTAATAAAAATTGAAGAGTGAAAAGGAGACAGCTTTAGGACATTTTATTGATGCATAAATATATTTCAATGATCTACTTCAAATATACATTTTGATGTGGCACTATGTCAGAATGACTTTAAAATATTGTATTAAATATAGATATATCAGAGAACCTGAACTGACATTGCCTACTTAAAGCAGTGAGATTTCTTGCACTGCAGTGTGACAGAACAGGATGGTTTCAATTGTGCTACCCAGATGGAGGGGGTGGTGGTGTGGTGATGGGTATCTTTTAAGCTTTAGCATAATCAACTGAACTATGTGACAGATCATTACTTTATGAGATGCTATGTGGAGCCATTGGTCCAGATTAAAACAACAAGGACAACCACCACCCTACCCACAATCGCTAGAAAACATAGATAATTCTTACAAGAACCAATCACAGTTGATGTATTTTAAACAGCCGAGTGCTGTGAGAGGTCTGGGGAAAGTGCTCTAGTCACCAAAGGCAAACATTTACCTTTCAAATAACAGGATGAGCCAGAAAGGTCATGACTAGTATCCATGTTCGGCTGGATAAAGGGACATATTTTGCAAAAAAACCTTCAGGCAAAAATAAATAAATAAATAAATAAATAAATAAATAAATAAATAAATAAAAACAAAAACAAAAAACCAACAACAACAAAAAACCACAAAAAACCTGATTATTCATAAACAAATATTTTAACATTTCACTGACTTATCTAACGAATAAGAAAAACATCGAAGGCTTCCTGCAGTTCAGAAAGAATTCTAGTAGCCTGGAAAACACAGAAGGAAAGAACGAGAAGCCCAAGGACGCCTGCTGAGTAGTGATTCACTTGTGAATATCTGAAAACGTACTTTTCATGCCCTTATTTAAAAATGAAAAATAAATATCATCCTTCCTTGTCTTTTTGTTTTGTTTTTAATTAACATCAGACTATGGTTATGCTTGCTAAAAAGCATAATTCTTTCCAGGGGGTTTCTGCAAGAAAGGGCCAGTTTGAAAGCTTATAACTAATGGCAGAAGTGGACGTATAAGCCGCAAACAAATCGTTTCGCAGCGGAGCCCACAGCCCTGAGAGACGCCCCTTCTTGCGAGCTCATCAGGATAACTTCATTTACTGGCAGGTCGGCGGCCACTTCCGGGACTCTCTGTC